GAGCAGATAGAACCATTAATCAAGTTTCTGAATTGGTATTTTTTTCAGACCACAGTAGAGGAAAACGTCTGGAAGGCTTAGGCTCTCCATTGCAAGGGCTGAGGTTCTGGAGACAGAAAAGTCCTTCTGAGCCCAGAAAGGCTAAAACCCTAGAGCAGAGGGCTCACCCACGAATCGGAGTGCGGGAGGACAGATGGCCCCGTAAGGGTGGCTTCTCCAGCTCCGGTTGGGGCTTCTGGTGGGTGGAGAAAGCCTGGAAGGGGTCTGACCAGTGTGTGAATGCCAGGTTTCTGAGAAAGGATTAAGCACTGAGCTTCTGGGCTGAGCCTGCAGGGGTGGGGACCCCAGGGTGGAGCCGACCTGTGTCCCCCCTTGTCAGGGGGTCAGGGAGGCAGCTTAAGCCTGAAGTTCAGCTCTGTAGCTGAGCGTGTTACTGTGCAAGTTCACACTCTGGTAGGAGGCCCTTATGAGAGCTCTCAACGAACAGTACAGACTGTTATGCTCCGACCGACGGTGACCCTTAAGCATGCCGTCCCCTAGACCACCAGCTGGGTCTGGGTTATCAGCGGCCCCACATGTTCCAGCCTCACTCTGGGCACCCAGGAGTCATCTGAGGCAGTCAGATATTAAATGTGGAATCACAGAGGAAGCCCAGTTCTCCCCACGACAGACACAGGAAAGGCTTCTCACCACCACGTGCTTCACGGAAGGAAAGGGAAGTGCTCCCAGCACAGCCAGCACAGCACAGCCTCACTGCCTTTTGTGCTAATAATGATGTCAAAGATGCCAGGGTGAGACCAAAATACAAGGAGTGACAGCGGATGGAATATTCTTTCCCTTCCATAACCAGTGTGTTGGACCAAACAGAAGTTTAATAAATGGTGGAGGAGGGAGGGGTCTACAGAAAAGGAAGGAAGGCTGACTGGACCCTCTGCTTTCCGCATCAGTTCTGGAAATTATGACCTTTAGCGGGTATGACCAGGCTTTTTGCACAGTGTTCCCCAAACACTTCCAACTCATCATCTTGCCAGGGTTAATGGCTACAGTACTGATCTTGAATAAAGACAGAAATTGTCTTCTGGAGTGGGAAATACTTTTCCATAAAGCCTGCCTGACGCTTTGCTGTGGTCGTCCTGGCGGCCGAGGTCCCGGTGCAGGTGCATCAACGCCGACCCTCTAACGGGAGCCACGGAGAGAGGTCACCACCAGGAGCACAGGGGTGGGGCGGGTCTAGGTCCTTGGTCCCGGTTCTCCGCCTCCAAAACCCGAGTCTCCCCGTCATCACCCATCTCCAGGGCGCTTGCCCGCATCAGCGTGTATGCACATAGTGCACATGTGTGTGTCCATCCATACCATCTTTATTCATAAGATCACAGTGTCACGAGACCCTGGGAGAGTGAAATGGCACCTTTGGAGAATGACCTGGCAATAGGAATCCCCAGCCTTAAAAAGCAAGTAACACCTCGCATCTCAGAAATTTCACTTGGAGGAATTTATCCTAAGGAAGTAATGAAGGATATGCACAAAGACTTAGTAGAAAAATGTTCCTGGCAATACTGTTTTTAACAGGGAAAGGGTGATATAACCTGTAGGGCCAACCTCAGGGTGCTGGAGAAAGGATGGGGCAGTAGCGCAAAGGAATAGTGTACAGATGTTCAAACTGTGGTGGAAATAAGTTCACTGGTATATGCAGAAGTTCACGATATACTTAGTGACAATCAGGCTGTAAAATGATACATGTTGGGCGATCATATACATCTACAGGAATATAGATGCTCAGAAAGCAATGAAGGCAGATACCTGATGGTGACTCGTGGTTTCTGGAAGTAGGAATCTGAGTTTTACTGTTTCGGCCCATCTGATTCACAGCAGTTTTGTATTCCTTTATAATAACTATGTGTTGGAAAGGCACCCATCATGCCAGGGGAACGTGTGGTGAAGCCGCTCACTTCGCCTCTTCCTAGGGGCCCGGGGAGGGCCGACTCCTGCCCATCCGATCTGCGCCCTCCTTACACAGCGTGCTAAGTGCCCCTGGGCTCAAGCCCACAGAACACAGTGCTGGCGGCCACCTCTCCGCAGCCTCAGGCAGAATTCCTCCGGAAGCTGCCCAGGCCCTCGCACTGCTGACTGATTTTACCATGTGTACTTTGAGGAGCGTGGAGGGGCCCGGAGCTCGGAGGCAGAGCTGTTGTCACTGGAAGGTTCCGGGGGCCGGGCAAGGGGTTAGTGCCTGCACCTGAGGTTTGAGAAGGACTCATTTTAGGGCAAATAAAGAAGGTTCTCAGACAGAGAGAACTAACCAGTTCTCCGGCCACCTCCTACTGGCTCTGTCCTGGGGCTAGAGATGCTCAAGAAGCGTTCCTCTGCTCTAAGAACCTCAGTCCTGCGCTCCCGGTGTTGTTTAAGAGCGGTTCTCTAAGTATGATCACAATCTTTACGTGACAGGAAACAGTCATACACGATGGGTCTCATCAGTATTACAGGGCCCGGCTGACTTTTCCTTGGCGTGATTATTGTTTTTCTTTTATCCTATTTATAAAATGTCCCTTAAGAATGCAAACTGTACCTAGGGGCTTATGATCTTCTAACCAGGTTTCTGGAAAAACAAAGACTCTACAATTCTGAGAGTATACATTAAACTCATCTCCCTTAGGAAGTGTTATGATTTACACACTCCTGGGTGTAGCGGTGTGGTTAGGCCTGCAGAAAACATAATGGAAAAGTTGTGCCAAATGGACCAGTGGCCACTAGAAGAAATTTCTCAGCACAAACCAGACCGTCCCCTGAAGAAGCCTCATCAGCCATACCCGCCAGCGCGGAAGGCGACATCGGACACGGTTGGTGGGAACACAATTTCCAGATCCACGTGGGAGGAAAACCCGACACCCAGCGGTCCACATGCCCGATGCCAGAACCGGGACCGAGGACCTAGGCCCGCCCCAGCCCTGTGCTCCCGGTGGTGACCTCTCTCCTCCCGCTGGGAGCCTGCAGAAGTGGCCCTGCCCTCCGGGGGAAAGACGCTCATGAAGCAGACTGGTGTTCTCGGAGGAAGCGTTCCTACCAACTGTGGGCGAATAGACTGCAACCCCCACTCACCCCAAGGAAGCATCTGTGCCCCTGCAAACTCAGGAATAGTGGGTGGAGGAGCTTCATGTGAACTCTGAGTACGGACCTCTCACAGACACAGAAAAGCCCATTTCCAACAGCAAGTGGTCAGAACCAGCGCTCAGGTTCCAATCGGGAATCGCGACTCATTCAAACACAAGCCTTCAGCGGGGAGGCTGACCAACACCCGCGGGACAAGGAGGTGCAGGAGCGGATCCCGGGTCCTGGGCCCACCAGCTGTCTGGCCCCGCCGGCCACAGAGGGAGGAGGCGCTCAGTCAGCCAGGACAGGCTGAGTCGTTCAGGGTAGGCGGGAAACTCATTAGCCTCTCTACTCAGTCCTCGGCGCGATGATAAATTTGGGGGAAACACTGCTTTTAAAATCTACTTGGAAGATACTTTTTACTATTTCAGCCCTGTTGAGCTATGTTTTAGGGGATAGATTTATAACTGTAGACTTTAAAAATTAATTTTTTCTTTTTAGAAAGGGTCCACTCTGTTACCTTTCGCTGACTGCTTAAGGGGCCTTCTCCTGAATATGGGTGTGGCCAGGATTTATGTTCTTGGCTGAGAGGAGAGGTGGACCAGGAAATATACGGGGCAGAGACAGCCAGGGGCCCACCACTGTCCACTTACCCTTTCTGCCTGCCCAGGACAAGGATGTGATGGCTGTGGTGAAGGCAGCCATTCTGTAACTCTGCGGTCACCCTGAGGTTGGAGCTAAAAGCCAAGGGTGGTGTAGCAGAATGATGGAGGCGGCTTTTCCACACCAGACCTGCACACCTCCTCTGGATGCGTTTTTAATGTTAGAATCATTATTGTTTAAGTTACTATTTTTTCCTCTATTATTTATAGCCCAATACATTTCCTCACTGAAATATGAAACACACACACACATATATATAGATACACCTTCACTCACCAAGAGGCCCCAACACCAAAGAGTGAGGCAGGAGCCACAGACACTTAAAGAGAGAAAGAAAAGCCATAAAAAGCTATTGATCCCAGTTGCACTAAGAGAAATTCCAACTCAGAGATGGCAACTAAAATAATGGAGAGAAAACATCCCGAACCAAATTACCAGTGTCGCTGACAAGATGAGCCACCCAATTAGGTGTCTTTCGACTTGGGTGCCATTTAGAGCTGAGGGCTTAACAGGATCATGAGACAGAATGAGACAACTCAGCATTTACTGATTAAAAAATCCAGGGCTTTTGTTGTAAGACAAGCCTTTGTTGTTTTAAAATGAGTGTTTAATCAATCTGAACGGCTTTGGTCATTTATACAGTGATCTTAATCACTGGCAATTGTCCCTAGATGTAAGGCCTAATTTCCCATGAATAGGTTTACTTGTGATTTGGTATTTAATATAGGCACCTTTTTCTGCGCTCGGAGTGCGTTTGTAAACACACTCCCAACCCTTTCTTCTCTGACCACATACGACAATCACCCATGCTGTCTGTCTGCAGACACAGAAGCACAAGGGAAGGATTTGCCCAGCAGAGGAGCTGGGGCCCCGGAGTCAGTGAATGTACACTGAGCTGTGAACCTGCGGGCAGCAGATGCTTGAAAAATGTTTGTTGAATGAATGAATGACCTCAGATTCGTCAGAGAAGGTGTTTGGAAGCACCCATGCTAATAGAGCCCGGGGTAGTTCCTCCAGGCCGAATTTCCTTGCGGAAAATAGCGGCATGTCTAGTCCAGAAGTCAAGGCACCATCAAATTCTCCAGGAAAAGCCTCCACTGCTAGGGTGAGAGGACCGTGTCCACATCCTCCGGTAGGGATGCCTTCGGTGACCATTCCAGGGCCGTTCCTTGGCTGGCCTTATCTTACTGACCCCCCCTACCCCCCAGGACCGGGCAGATGACGCTGAAGGACATTTAAGCCGTACTTACTGCTGGTAGAGGACACGTGGCTGTAGTCAGACCTGAAACACAAAACCTGAGCGTTAGTGGGACTAAACACGACTTTTTTCCCAGACCAAGTTCTTCAAGCTGGAATTTTAAACAGTCAGTGGTAAGAAGCACTTAACAGGTCAAGAAATGCCAGAAATTAAAAACTGCAGTGCTGAGGATGGTTTTGTGTGAAATCAAGTCATGTCTGAATTTGAAAGCAAAACTTTAAAGGTGCTTTAGAAACCAGGGGTCCTTCATCGGAGCCCCGTGAATCTCCCAGAGGGGAGACCAGCTGGGTCCTGAACCATCTACTGTTTTTCTGGGGAGAAGATTGGAAGTTTTCAACAGATTCTCAGAGGGAGTCATGACTCCCTCAAAAGGTGATGACTACTCCAGATGAGCTCTTCCCAGTGTGGCAGCACAGCCCGGAGAGGTTTCTTTGCCGAGGTAAGCACAGGAGGGGTGGACCGTGGTGAGAGAGACAGCCCGGGCCCGTGCTCCACTGTCCAGGTCCTCCGGCCCTCGGGAGCACAGAGGCACAGTGATGGGGGACTGCTCTCAGTCCCACCTGAGAAGAATCCCCGCTGGATGGCAGAATAACAGGGTGAGGGCTGTGACCCAGGAAGGGAAAAGGCAGGGTCAGCGCTTCGGCTTCTACGCTGAAGACTCACCGGCTGGCATCCGCCCTGTGTGGGCATCACAGGACCATGGCCAAGGCTCTGCCTGCCTCATCGCCACCAAGCTGCCCTCCTTGTGTGGCTGTTGGGCCTTCCCTTTCTGGCCACATCCGTGGTGAGAAGCTGCCGTCCACCCCCGTCCACCACCAAAGTCATTCTCAGTAGGAAATCAACCTCTCAGGCACACAGGCATTTATTCTGCCAAGGTGGGAGTTAGGGGATCTTATTATGCAAATAAAATGATTGATTACATTGTATTTTATAGATACACACTCCTTTTATTTACTTATTCTCATGTTGCTTTTCTTGAGTCAGCCAATTTTCATTCCGCTGAGTTTCTTACCACATTAAAAAGTATATAGGAAACATTAAAAAATCATAAAAAGCATGCCTCTTACTAGTTAAAATAATCTACATCTCACAGAAAATGATACACTGACTTACTGGGAAAGGAATAAAGTGGAAGAAAAATAGCATGTGATTTTCTCTTGTCAAATGAAATACTGTAGCGGTCAGAATCACTGAGTTTTAAAACTAGAAAGAGTAACAACTAGCATCTGCATGTCCCTTTATATATTACAAACCGCATCTGCCCAGGTCTGATCCAATTTTTTACATCAATGATTAGGAAACTAAAGTGACGATCTTGGTAAGGAGATCAGGAGGCGAGGGGCACACAGGGTCTGAAGAGGCGCACAGGGCGGTGGCAGGAGGAGTCGGGGGCAGACGGCTTGGCTGGGGTGTGGCCGCGCGCGGCTGAGGATGGGCCGTGGTGGAAGAGGACAGGCAGGGTGAGCCCCTGGGGCTTTAAGCTGTGTCTGGGACCAGGCAGGTTACAGTGTTAGGATGACACTTAGAACTGTAACTAAATAAATGCAGTGACAACTCCGCAGACCTCCACTCCGGTAGACGCGGCCGAAGAACTCCATTACGATGGGATGATCTTAGGGTGGCCAGACTTCAAAGCAAGTTCATGACAATTCAAATAGGTTCAGTAACAACGTGCAGTACTGCTAACTAGTCATTAAAAATTTGTATTTCCTTTCAGCTAGGATTTTCCAAATGCTCCCGAGGCAGATGGGTTCCACACACACACACATTAAGATCCGCATACAGGTGGTCATGTATGTAGAATGAAATTTATATGTGAAACATATTTTCTAGAATCTTAAAGCCAATAGAAGTGTTTCAGGACAGGTGCTGGCATGGCTCAGGGCTCCGCCACACCCTCCGTGTCCTCGCGGCTAAAGGCGTCGCCCTGGTTAGTGTCCGTGATTCCCGCCTTACTCCAATTCCTTCCCCAGAATCAGCCAATCTTTGCAAAGCACAGATCTGACCATGTTCCTCTCTGGATGAAGTTCAAGCTCGACGGTGCACAACACACAGCCCTCCTTCCATGACTAACGGCTCTGTCCACTCTGCAGTCTCACCCTTCACCCCAAACTCCCTGTTTACCATCAGAGCAGAAATCAGATGCCAAGAAGTCACCTTTGATTTCACAATCCTCTCCAGCTCCTGATCCTGTTTATGCGATTTGTACAGTTGCCGTAATGATGGAGATACAGTTTTAAACTGCCCTGCTCGCTCAATGCCGTCATAAAATTTGCTACATTGTTCCTATAATTTTAATTTTAGATAAGTGATGTCCTATAGTTATTTGTTATATGATTATTCCTGACTCTTCACTTTTGCAAAGCATGTGGCAATGAGCCACTTATAGCCTGATACTTACTTTTTTCTTTAGAAAAATTATCATGAGGGGGGATACGGACTGAAGCAAGGGATGAACAGTTTTATAGCTCTTAAAATATATTCCAAACAGCCCGAAAAAATTACTTATTGGGAACATTGCCAGAAAGACTTCCACTCCCTCCTGGAGCCACGCTGATCTGGCTTCTGCCCCCACGGCTCCCCTGTCGAATACAGATGACCCTTGAACAAAACGGGTGTGAAGTGTGTGGGTCCACTTATACACAGCTTTTTTTCAATAAACATATTGGAAAAGAATTTTTGGAGATTTGCAACAATTTGAAAACTTTTTTCTTTAGCTTTCCTTATTGTAAGACTACGGTATATATAATACCTATGACATACAAAATATGTGTTCATCGGCTGCTTCTGTTATCGGTAAGGCTTCCGGTCACCAGCAGGCTCTCTGCAGCTAAGTTTTGGGGGAGTGACAAGTCAGGCTCAGCGTTTTGCCTGCACGGGGGTCAGGGCCCCGGGCAGCAGTCCTGTTGGGGGTCGGCTGCACCACTACCTCGGCTGCAGGCTCTCCATGTAGAAGAAGCCATTCGCGTCCCTCAACCTGGCTTCTCAGGTGCACTGTCCATCTCTCCTTCCTTTCTCCCGGGGCTTCTAGGGCACCCCACTCTTCCTTGTTTATTCCATGGCTGCTTTTCCCCAGGCTCCGTGATCAGCTCCTCCTCCTTCTCACGGCAATTGAATGTTGCCGTTTCTCAAAGCTGCTCTTAAATAGCACCTGCGTCACGAGTTAATGGAATGCGTGAAGGCTACAGCCGTGCCTGGCGCACAGTAATGCCAGGAAGTGTTTGCTTTGCTTTAAGCGGCTGCGATGGACCGCGAGGGCTGCCACTGCCATTTTTAGGCGGACGTTCCCAAGTGCGATGCCACCATGCTGACCTCCTGTCTGACCTCCTCCCTGACAGACACACTGAAGGCTGGCTCAGCGCCTTTACTTGGCTGTCTTCCAGTATCCCCAACACCACATGTTGAAAATGAAACTTCTCGTATCCTGCCCAAACTTGGTTTGGAGAGGATCACTGGCTACTTTGAGAATCTGATGAAAAATAAGTCTTTTCGCATAAAAATTCACAGGCACACCATTTTTGCACTGCCTTTAAGCAATTCACAGACCCCAAATTAGGGATCCCTGCCTTAACAGATGGGTCACTGGAGCTGAGTCTTGAAAGAGGAGTAGAATTTCACCTGGTGGACAGGCATGCCAGGTGGAGAGGGGCATAGCTGGCAAAGAGGGCAGCCTGACAGAAGGACCCGGAACCTCCCTGCCGGCAAAGCTCAATGCAGGGTGCAAGAGTGTTTCTGCTGAAAAACGAGGCACGAGAGAGGGACCCCATGACATCAGGGCTTGTAGGACATGCTAAGCTCTGTGCCCTTTATGGATGGTACAGTCACTGCAAGTTTGAGGGGAGAGGGACATGATCAGATCTGCATTTAAAAAATAACCGTAGCATCAAGTGCTTTTTTACGTGCTTCCTACACAATCTCGACAGGTAGCAGCTGTTTGAAAGGTGGACGGGACCAGAGGGGGCAGGCTCTGGAAAAGCAGGGGAGCTGAGCTTTTTGATAACTAAGCTTCAAGGGATATATGAATAGGTGGCAAATAAAAAGTTAGTAAGTATACATTGAAACTTTTATTTCAATGCATACTGTTAGCCTAAGGCAATACCTTATTAGCTACCTAGGCAATCAGAGTTCTTTAAATAATCCTGCACGCCTTAGTGATGGAGGCAGGGAGCAGCAGAAGGCTCTGCCGCTAGTGTGCCAGCCAGCCCCTCCCGGGAGCCCTGGAGCTGCCGGGCTTTCCCCGGGGAGCCCAGGGTGTTGACCCTTCCAGTCAGGGCTTGTCTCCACTTCTCCCAGAGCCTTTGGGAAAAAGTACCTGTTTAGGTGAGCTCTGCAAAGTGAACAGTAATGGACCTGTTTGTTGTGCTTTATTTAATACAGTTGAAACGAGCTGGTTGATTTCGCTGTTTCTTTTATTCATGGTCCAGCTCACTAGAGGTACGGGGAAAAGGCCAAGGATCGTCAGTGGAAGTTGATAAATGCCATGTACACAAAGTGGGAAAAAGCGAGGGAGTTCAGTGGCTTGGAATGAGGTTACTCCACGAATCCAACTGGGTTCTGGAGCAAACCATAAATGATGGCCAGCTTGGATGAAAGGAAAGCCTATATTGCCAGGTAGGCGAACGCTTTAGGGCCTGAAGTCCCAGATCTGGGCCAGGAGTGGGCGGAGGCTCCGGTCAGGTGAGACCCCTGGGTCCGTTCCGGACCTGGACCCTCTTCCTGTCCTCGCACCCCGGGAGGTGAGTTTACATCTTCCCAACTTCCCAGCAGGGAGGCTCTTTGCAGCCGCGGCTCACCTGCCCCCACCCCCCGGGGGTTATTCCAGCTGGGAAGACACCCCTTCCTCCTCGGTGGGCTCCACATCCCGGGTGTGGCGCTGACGCTGCACAGGGAAATCCTCCGGCGCTAAGGGCCGGCCGCGCCTTTGCACCGATCGTCCACCTCCCAAGACGCTGGCTTTCCGTTCCACTGGGAGAACACGTGGTTGGGAGAGGGGCCCCTCGCCTCCGGGGGGCTGGGCTACCGGAGGGCGTGGAAGCCGGAGCAGTGCCCGCAACGCGCGGGGCTCGGCCACCGCTCCGCCCGCCTCCGCCTGTCCGCGGGCGAGCGGCTGGGCTGGGCTGGGGCAGGTGCGCCCGGGCCGAGGAGGCCGGAGGCGCTGAGGGCTCTGCGCGAGCACCACAAAGCCGCGAAATGGAAACTGCCACCCTCTCAACAGCGTCCGAGAGGCTGCAGGTGCCGCGTGCCGCCCTCTGGGCCCCGCAGCCCCACGCCCTCCCCGCAGCCCGGAGCCTCGAGAACCCCGTCCCCGCGCAGCTGGCAACGAGCGCAGGCGCGCCCCAGGCCGGCCCCGGAGGGAACGGCCCTGGGGGGGTGCGGCCCGGGCTCGGGCCCCCCGCGGGGTGCACGGAGGGCGCCCCACCCCCGCCCCGCCCCTCCGCGCCGCTCACCCGCCGGTCTCGGCGCCCGAGTCCACGCAGTCATCGTCCTGGCCACCGCCCGCCTTGGGGTCCATGGCGCTCTCCCCGCCGCCCGGCCGGCCCGAGGGAGACTCCCCGAGCTGCTCGCCGCCGGCCGAGGGCGGACTCCGCGAGCCCCGCCTCCGTCCCCGCGCCGCGCCCTCTCCCGGCGGCGCCCTGCCCGGCCCGGCCCTCGCCGCTCGGCCGTGGGAGCGAGTGCGCGCGCAGGGGTGTGTGCAGGGGGCGGGGCATCTGCACGGGCGGGGTGTGTGCGCGCGGGGGGTGTGCATATGAGCGAGGGCACGTGCGCGCAAATCTGTGTGTGTGTGTGTGCGTGCGTGTGCGTGCGCGCACGGGGCGAGGCATGTTCACGGGGCGGGGTGTGTGCACGCGGGGATGTGCATACGAACGAGGGCACGTGCGCGCAAATCTGTGTGTGTGTGTGCGCGCACGGGGTGGGGCGTGCGCCTGTGTGCGAGGGCCGAGGGTGTGTGCGCAGGGTGGGAGTGCGCCAGCATGTGTGAGCTCGCTTGCTGCGCACCTGTGTGCGGTGAGAGAGCATGAACCGGCGAGGTGCGTAAGGTCGCGCGCGCCTGTGCTGTGGGGTGACGTTGGTGGGTCGGTGAGGCATGTACTTGCTCGTAGTGCACGCTTTGCGTGTGCTGAACGCGTGTGTCCGTGTGCCCGTCTGCACTTTGTGGCTGCTTTGTGGACGGGGTGTGAGTGTGCGCACGCGCGCATGGCAGCCACCCTCTTACCTGGGACCAAGGTCGTCCCGCGATAGGGAACCCGGGATTGCCTTGAGGTTGCTGAGCCTGAGCGTGCGAGCGGCACCCAGAAATACCCGACCTCACTGGGGCTCCGGGAGGGACCCGCTTCTGGCCCACTTCTGGGACCAGCTGGAACATCTACGCGCCTTGTCGTCGCTTCCTTGCGATTCGCGACGCTGAATGCATTAGCGCCCTTGTTAGCACAGGTCTGAGGGGCTTCCCACCCCTCAGCTTGCCAGTTCACAATGGGTGTCATGCATTGTTTTGCTACTTTTAAAGAGGGGGCTTAAAAAATAATGTGAATACCGTTGGATGTGGCTGCAGTCAGGAGCTGTGGCGGTGAGGAGTTGGGGAGGCCCCCCCACCCCTGCCAGCGTCCTAGGGTGAGTGGTCACTGTGTGAAGGGCTGCATCCCCTCGGTGGGGTGAGGCTGGAGGGAAGCTTGGATGGACGGAGGATCAAAACAATTTGGATTCAATTCTGACAGCTGTGTCCGAGCATCAGAAGGCACTTTTTCTACTTTCTTCTGTTTTAAGAAGTTGTTTGACCTCTGAGTTGTAACGTACTCATCTGTAAGATGGGGCTATAGCCTGTTGTGAATTCAATGAGAGCATGTATGCAAAAATACTTACAGTTGGTCTCGATACACACCAAACACCCATCCAGGCAGCTGTCATTACATTTCAGACAGCAGCAAGCGGCATTCCATCCCAATTTGCAAAGCTGGACTAGAGATATCAGGGCATGAACATACTTTCTTTCCTGCCTGCCTCTTCCCCCTTCTGTTCTTCCTTCCTACTTACCTACCTAAATCTCACTCCTCTTATCCTAATTAAATTACACAGAAGAGAAATCCAATTAACAAAAGAACAGAAATGCAATTTCATCTTCAGAAAGCAAGTAAATATGCTAGACCCGAATCTTAACTGAACGTCCTTACTGAGCAAAAGGTCCTTGAACACAGAACAGAAATGGGTGTATCACACTCAGTTTGTGCTCATTCGCTGAGAAAGCATGCCGGTTCTTCAAGGGAGGCCCCTGCACGCTTGTACTGCTCTCTAAAGGAAATTCTCACAGGAGGCCAAAGGGGTGTGCAAATGATTTCCCACGCGGTGCCATTAGGGACCATTTTAAATGTATGGATTTACTCAATAACTAATAAGATACCAGACAGGAAGATGAATTCTGGTTAGACAAATAAGGGAAAACAACAACATACATGATGCCTGCCCTCATGGAGTTTTTAATCTGCAAGGGGAGACTAATTAAACAAGTAGGTTGTATGATCAAGTGTAAATGGAGATGACTGCTATGCAGGAAAAGGCGTGCACCCCCAGGAAGAGGGAACATTCTGGGGCCGTCAGGAAGGGCCCTCTCAGGAAGGGCTCTCTGGCCCCTGGTCCCAGTGCTGCGTGCTTGCTGCTGTCCCTGGAAGACTGTCTCCCAGATTTTCCTAGGCTCTTGCCGCATGGCCTTCAGGACCTTGTTCAAATGGTGCTCATCAGAGAGCCCTTCCCCACTCAACCCACCTCCCCGCTCCCTCTTACCTGCTGTCCCCCTTCTTCCATGTCTACCAGCACCTGGCCTATGACAGATTTTCTTCCCAGGCACCCCTCTTCCCTCCTCAGCCGAGCTCCGAATGCCAGCTCTGGGAGAACAGGGGCTCTGCTTTGTTCGCTGCTATAACCCCAGCACCTGGAACAGTCCCGGGAGCAGTAAATACGTGCTGAGCAGCCCCAGCGTGGAGCGGAGGGTGAGCAGAGCTTCCCAGGCGGAGGGCCAGCAGGCGTGAGCCGGAGGGCACTGAGCATTCAATCCGCAGAGCAGGGAAAAGCTGACGTTCTGCAGAAATGTCGTCTCCAGAAAATCTGCCCATCGCGGCCCATTTGGAAAGTAGGATGAACACAGTGTCAATGAGGCCAGTTGAAGGAAGTAGTAAATGTGGCCAAGCTGGTATAATAGGTGCGGGCGTAATGCACGCTCTGCAAAGACATCTTACTGCACAGCCACGAGGGAACCGACCTTTCTTCTGTGCTGGGAAGTTCATACTTATCCCTCCATTTCTCCTCACCAAGGGTCTGTGAAATAGGTTTATTTTCCTTTTTATAGGAGAGGAAAGCAAACCACAGAGAGTTTAAGTGCCTTGCCCCTGGCCACCCAGTGACTAAGTGGAGGGGCCAGGGGGCCACTTACTGTGGGTGGGGTCCTTGTCATCTACCAGGAGACGGAGGGGTCGCCCCACGCATCCCAGGAGGGGGATGCTAAGTAAAAGGCCAGAGAAGAAAGGATGGAGTCAGCATGGCCGTAGAAGGAGACGCTGCTCAGAGAAGGGCCAGAGCAGACCAAAAAGCTGCCCGCTTCTCAGAACGATGGGCCACTCAGGTCCCCGAGGGCACAGGGCATAGGCGTTGTCATTTATCATTAGCTCAGCGCCTCATGGCGGCCCAGAGATGGACTTACTACTGGGAAGAGAAGACTGGGCAGTAATCAGGGCCCCGCTTCAGCCCTCAGCCTACGGAGCCTCACTCTGATCTTTTGGTGAAGGGCTGTCAGTGGGTATCCAGCGTGAGGACCTTGTTGAGATCACGACCTTTACCTGGTTTCCCGGCTTGACCTCCAGCACCGGTGTCTGATGGGCGGGTGCGCTGCCGCCCTCGCCCGCCCCTGCGGATGGGCCAGAGGAGACTCCCGTGTCCCTCTCGGGGCCCTACCTGCTGCCCCAGCGATGCTGCCCTCAGTCTGAGGACAGTGTGGGAGAAACCCTGAGATGCTGTGTGAAAAGCCAGGAAACTTGAAACCTGACTTCTGGACCTGAGTGGGTCATGTCACTAATGGAAAAGAGTTGGGTCAACTGCCTTAGAAGTTCTTACTACACGTCAGGCAGGAGGTTTGTAGACATGACCTCTTGTATCCTCACAAAAGCCCTGTGCGGCCTCTGTTGTCCTGAAAACAGGTTATTGTTATAAATCTCCCAGGTGACTTCAAGCCCTCTGGAAACTGCGAAGTGTACAAATACAAGACACCACTGACTTTCACTCCCTTCTTCTCAGACAGATGTGACCACTCCTGTGTTGTATTCTATCTCCAATATTCTCTGCAGCCTCTGCTAGAGTTGTAGCATGTGTTGTGTATGAGAAAGCAAAGCCCTTCACCCACTTATGCACTGAGCACTCACAATGTGCCGGGCAGTGGCCGGTGGCTGGGACACCCTAGGGGGATAAGCCAGAGGCAGCAGCAGGCCTTCCCTCCAGGCCTGGCCCCCTTTAGAGGGCCCCCCGAAGCCCACCAGGCATGTGACAGGTGCACCCCGCCACTGGCCGTTAGAGTAAGACTGGAATATCAAAGCCTTTTACTGGAGAAAAAGCTCGCAATAGTCTGGTGATAAATAAAGAGCATCAATTTTGCCACTTGAAGGTGGTGGATGACTAATTAAGAGAGCCAAAGAAATTGGGAAGGGATCAGAGTTTTGAACAATAGAACATGAGCAGCTTTAAGATAAGAACTTTAAGCTTTGAAGGAGCTTAAAGGGATTGAACACAGATAAAAATAAACATTTCCCAGGCCTGAGATTTGCCTGGTTTTGAGCTTCAAGTTAGAGGGATGCCAGCCTCTCCATTGTATAAGCATGAACCTTCTGGGCCACGGCTGGAAGGCTGGCTGGAGTTCTTTAAATGCAATGCTGGGTCAGGGTGTCCAGAAGCACATAGACCTGGAAGATATGTCAGTCTGGGAAACTTTTGTTCATTCACTTTTATTCATTTATTTTTAAGAAACAAAAAATTTCAGGTTAAAGAGTGATAGAAAAAAAAACAAATACAAAAAACAAAAAACCTCTTTCTTCCAAGTCTCCAGAAGAGTTTATCTGATGTGAAAAATAAATATTATGATCATGACAAGAAAAACGATAAACTATCGACAAATCTCTTTAGACAAAGAAAGCCACTAGCCTTACATGCAAGCTAAGGGGACCAGATGGTAAAGGAATAAATGAAACTAAAGATAAACTGAGCTGGAAAATAATCTCATTCAAATATAAATGACTCCACTTCAGGAAAGGAGAAATAGTGGTCCCACCTCAGAGTCTCCTCAGAACTCTCAGCCTGCCCGTTAGGGCGAGATCTGGAGTCCAAGGCCAGGTGTCCATATGGCGCCCACAGTCATACCTCCACCTGCTGGGTGGTGGGCAAAAATGAGATGGGACTGCTAAAGGCCTCAGGAAAAGGGCTGTGGAAATCTAAGAATACAGTGAAACTCTAGACCCAGGACCCTGCCCTCAGGCCCCTGTGAGGACAGACGTGCATCCTGGGAATTGTGGCCGGTGGTGGGGGGAGTCCCCTGCTTATCAGCACATTGATTCTCCAACAGCACATCCTCATGTCTTCCTCCCGGGGTCCCCCACGGCTCTAGCTGCCTGTCTTAGCTCCTGA